ATTTATACTAAATATTTGCTATTTATAATATGAAACTCATGAAGTTCATAACAAATTAATAAGGTATAGGGATATTGGATAATAAAGGACATAACAAAATTAATGCAATTTCAAAAAATTTTGTAATCTGTAATCTTGTGTTAATATATTTTCTGATTTTAAAAGGTTAATAATATGTTTAACTTTTATCTAAATCATTTATAAAATTATAGTTTATAAATACTGAATAAAGAAATAATTTCACAGTAGCCCTTTTTTCTAAAAGTAAAAAAGACATTACGTGTTAATGTCTTTTTTACTTCAAGAGTAAAACAAGAAAAATAATTTGAGACTAGCTTCTTTACCTATAAGCTTCATATACTTATAAATAAATTAAAGAAAATAATATGAAAAGGATATCCAGGAATGCGTTCCAAAAAAAATTAAATCTAAGAACCGGACGCTTTATTTTTAATACCGGCACAACCCAAAGCGGGGAATAAAAAATTCAGCGCTAAAAAGAATAACACCGTGACTCTATTACTTGTACAGCATGTCATCGACGGTTCATTAAAATACGATGACTTAACACAAACACTATAGTGGACTTCATTGACGTAGGCGCAAGCTCATAAAAACCCCATCGACTATGTATCATACGAATATAGTTCGTACGCAAACGCAATAAGAGTTACTGCATTCGTCAAATATCAAATTCACTGGTTCATTTTGGAATGAAAGATCGGTTACAATAGCGTTTCATTCCGTGGAATCCATTGATAAGTCGGATGCTACCAGTGTTACAAGAAGCCGATCTCACGAGCGTTGAGAAACTCAATTACTTCCGAATACCCAAGCCATGGGGCTGGAACAAAACTGAAAGTCTACAGAGTGAGAACAAATTGGGTCAATTATTGTATAGTATATTTTAGCCTTTCTTCATTTAATGGGATCCAGAACCTTCAAAATTTCTATTCCTCGTAAAAGTTTTAGCGTGAAAGAGTAACAAATATTCATCATGCCATCTAGCCACAAACAATGCAAAGTTTGTACTATCGATACTAAGTAACTGATGTACCTACATACATACATTAATATTATATAATACAAATAGAATTAAACTCGCGACCATCAAATCGCTTTTGTTTTGCTTTGCTGTAGAACTAAACTATGGCCTACAATCGAAATCACATTCGTGGTTAACATAACTTCATAATTAATATTTTCTTCTTTTTATAACACCTTGATTATAAAAGAAAACTCAAATATGTACAATTAAATGAGCCGAGGGCTAAGATATTAAAAAAACTATTGCAAATATATCTAATGTATAGTCAGATTACTTATTAAACAGAGCAGAAAGAAAACTAATATTATTAAGAAGAACTCATCGATGCGGAAATAAAAAGAAGAAATAACCTTCTCATTTATCTTATGTAACGCGGATAAGAAAAATTTTCAAATACTAAAAAAGAAAGCTAAATAACTATTTGCTTTCCAAAACCGTGAGAAAATTATCTCTTCCAAACTAGTTGTAGAATTTAATGGAGTGCTAGGGGCAAAAAACAGTAAACGAAAATGATACAGTTACAAATTATTGTGCCGTGGAAATTACCAATTCAATGCAAAATTGAATGCTTTGAAGGCACTTTGTGGGGCCGATTTTGTTTGGAATAAATTAATTAAAGCGATTTAAGACGATTTTCCATCGTCACTCGCAGCCGACACCGTTTAAATTACGATTTTGTATTCCACCAGTTATTGTCTAGCTCTGATAGCAGCTAATATTTCGATGAATATCTCCTCAATCATGCCTTTCAATACTATTATTGTATTATTTATGTCTAACTAAAAATAATTTTATTATGTTGCAATTTTTTTTTATAAATACTTTTCTAATTTTTTGAAATACGTATCGAATAATATAGTACGTAACATAAAATAAAGCTTCCATTTCCATAACTCCCCATACTCTCCTCTCTGTACCTATATGTTAAATTTGTCTCAGTTTTACCTTTTATATACCTTGTGTCTATTTAGAACCCTAAATAGACACAAGGTCAATGGGTCTAGGCCCTTTGGAGGGTACCAGTAATATTAACAATTAACCTAACTTAAGACCTAGTGCCATATTTTTACTATAGATTTTACTTTATATTATTAAATAGAACATGCCACTGGTTTTCAGTAGTATCTACTAGTATAAAAAAGTTAAATAATACCGCTTAAAATAATATAATAATAAGTAAAACAAAATAACAAATAAACAAACAAAAATCAGAAAAATAAACACGATATAAATTAAAACAATTAATCAGCGCCAGTCCATCGCATATCTTCCACTCTCTGATTCCTTCATGAGGTCAGTGCTCATTACGTTTTGTAAACATTCTGAGTATTTTATGATTTTTCCAATATTTATGTGCAAAGTACATCTAAAAATTCTAAGAAATATTTGTGTGAAATATGACTATGATGTTAAATTTATATCTACATAAATATGTCAGTAGATACGTCTTAGATGTTAATTGTAAACTTTATTTACAACATAATCAGTAATTTCTTAGTTTCTCTTTTGTAACATGATGGATTTGTTTCTCCGTTTCAAGTTCCAATTTCTTCTCCTCAGTAGATATCATTATATTCAAATGGATTGGATTTCATAAAATTTTCGCAACGTAATGGAAAATTGAATTTAAATTAGAATGACGTGGTATATAGCTAATTGGACTAGACCTGACTAATTGCTATTTATATAGATGTATTAAAACATATTTGTCATTAGTAGAGCAATGAGATATGTTTATACATAAGTAACACAAAAGTATAAACATAAGAAAATCAAAACATAGGTAGGTGCTATGTATTTTATTAACAGCTTCGACGGTCTAGTGGTTTAGCATACCGCTTTACTATCCGATGGTCGCGGGTTCAATTCCTCGCACGGTACAAACATTTTGTATTCATGAGTATGATTGTTTGTATCGTTCTGGGTATTTTCTATATATAGATAATATGTATTTATTTACAAAACAAAATGCAGTCATGTATTTATATTAGTTGTCTAGTACTCATAACACAAGCTCTGCTTAGCTTGGGACTAGATAGTTTTGAGTGAATTGTCCTGAGGTATCATTATTATTAAATACAATATTAAAAAAAACTTCAAAAAAATATACCATCAATAGAAATGAAAAGTTGTAAAAGACCTTAAATAAAGGTTTTTTTATATAATAACAATGGTACTACTACCACGTCTGCACTTATTGGTTCTTCAAGTTACTGACCCCAAAGCCTTTATCAGTATATTTGTCTTTTTCAACGCAAACCATATTTATTACTAAAACGTAAAGAAGAAACAAATAATCTTTCTTAGAGTCTATATTTATATATTATTTATTCAGCAATCAGTATACTAATATTTGTAATCGTTACATCAAATTCATTAGTATTTTTATAACTATATAGATACGCGAATTAAATGAATTAACATGAATGATTAAAAATAAAATTATTAAAAATATATTGATCAATTCACTACACATTTATATCATTTAATACCTACTATTATCCAAGATATGTGTGCTGCGTGGTCATAATATTTAAATATAATTTGCTATATGATAATTAACTGCAAACCTATTCAAATACATACTTCCCGCCTGGCATATGTTACATATACTTTTGGGTAAAAAATATTGTTAAGTAGGTAAATTGCACAATACATCTCGTAGCGATATCTATTCATTAGGACTATCTTAAACTATAATTTCAATTAACAACTACTTTTTTATACCTTATATACTAAATAAATTATTATATATCAGCTATGAAAATACCTGAATCTGAGTAGTTGTAAAGACTACAATCTAAGCTACATTATTTATTGTAGAGGAGTAAATTCTTACTTATAGGGACTAATGACTTGTCAATTCCTAGTCACTTCGTCATGATGGGCTAACTAATCTGATTTCATCATCATCATAAGATGGAGTAAGTTAACATCCATAGACGCTCTACCAGCGTTTACTATTAACACACTCTTTCCTATTAATCCATTAAAAATATACCTATATATTCTAATTTAAACTACTTATAAATTTAATAAATACATTATGAGAGTCATTAAATAATATTAGCTGTTAATAAATATATAGTTTAGACATACACTTACATCAAAATTGAATAATAGACTGTTAACTTACCTAATTGATATTCAATATAATTTTAATAAAAAGGAATCAAAACATCTTAAATTCCGGACATGCTTTATTGGAAAGGGATGCATATACTTCTATGAGGATGGACCAAAATGAGTGGGCAGATCTCGGCCCCCACCTTCTGCGCCTGCGGCTGTTTTGGTACAATACTCAGGTGACAATAATTTCTCTAGTTTCAGAGTAAATATAATGAAAGTATTTATTACTGTTTGAAGGATCTAAAATCTATTAATTTCTTCTTTTTCGTATTCGGCACACATTTCACCGGAATAATTACCCATATTCTAAGTTCTTGTCCATCTTAAAAACTATATTTATGTAATATTTGATAGCAATAGATAAGGATATTAAGATGATATGAGATTTAATGAATAATGAAAGAAACAATTTACGTAAGACAGACACACATAATCGTCCAACTCTTTCAATACAATTTAACTTTGAAAGATGTCGGATATTTTTATGAAACATCTCTATTTACATATAGTAGTTTTTAGATGCACAATAGTATTTACTATGACAGTACTAGTTGAGTAGATTTTTATATTTTCGTGTTTGCGGTCTCCTTATGAAACTCTTTGATGAAAAGTATCATTACAGTCTGTCGCATGGCTCCTCTACATTTTCACACTTATACAGTGGGTGTGTTCTATGCACTCACTCACACAGCTTTCGGTACTCTCAACACAGAACCTCTTTGGTAGAGCTCACGCACACAGCCTTACATCACCCTGTCCGCACGAACACAGTGGCACTCTCAGTTCACTACACAACCTCCTCTACTGCACTCACGCGCAGAAAAAAAGATAACGCGATCTATCGATCTTTTTTACAATCAAAAAAATACCGCCGTCTTATAGGCTTCATGGCTATAGTCGGATAAAACTGACGTTTACAAACGAACGCGTCGACCGAATCCACTCATTTATTTCGTTCACAATATTTACGACGGCGTTATTAATTGAACATGTCATTTTAATTATGTAAATAAGTATGGGTGATAATCAATTTAAATTATGTGTTCCGATCTCGTTCGCTTAATTTAATGTAAACAGATATTTATCAGTAGTTTGTGGCGTTTTTACGGTGTTAAAATAAAAGCTTTATATATGTAATGGTTTTTATTGAATACTTGTCGGTTGTGCTGCAGTAAAATGGTTGATATTCTGCCTCAGTGGAACTTGATAGAGTTCGTGACGGATCGATTTTAATGGACCTCTGATACCGACTTATCATACCATTATGGAAAGACACCAAAATGGTATGGATGTGTGGGTAGGTAAGGGTATATAAGTACAATTTTTATTATACTTCATAGTTTCTAGTTTATATATTTTACATACTAAAAACGATTCCTTAACCCGACAGACAATTTATTTAATATCTATAAATTAAATGACTATAGTTGACATTAATATAATATAATATTTTACTATGTCATAACACTGGCTCTAATCTAATATCCTTTTTATACATAACTATCACACATATAAATAAATCGATAACAAAAATTTGCTGGTAGCCAAATTTATAGACGCAATTATTAATTATATAATGTGTAATTTACTCTTTTTTAGTTAATAATTACAATAGCCAAACACAAAACGTAAATAGTTATAACATTTCTATCCTTTACCATTGTAAAGCCGACGGAATTATGTTATGAAGATATTTCTAAATAAATATTTCAATTTATTTATGATTTCTTGTGTCGTCGACAATGTAGTCTTGATTAGATAGCTGATAAAATTAAATTATCTAACTTCTTCTTAATACTAATTAGTAACTAGATATATTTTTAACTCCACCCACATTAGTGCATTATAATAAATCTTCATATTACCAATATACTCGTACAATACCATAATACAAAATATAATGAAGATTGCTTAATCTTATAAACTGCAAAGAGGTAACAAACTACATTTATACATCTGAATACCTTATATAATTTATGTGTTTGACACATATTAAACAAGTCAACATTGCAGATTTAAAATATTTCTAAGTATTTAACTTAATATATAATTTTATGTCTGTAAACTTTTTTAAAATAATTCTTATTAATAAATAGTCTAACCTTATAATGTATTTTTTAATATTAAAGTTTTTAAAATAAATTCTAATATGAACATTATTTATGAAAATTTTTGTACTATTCATATCAGGTCAAGGAAGGGTCAATCAGCTCGGGGGATTGTTCATCAACGGGCGACCGCTACCGAATCACATTAGACTAAAGATTGTGGAGATGGCTGCGGCGGGAGTGCGCCCTTGCGTCATCTCACGCCAACTTCGCGTCTCGCACGGCTGCGTTTCCAAAATCCTCAATAGATACCAGGTAAAAATATAATCTTAAATCCTTCTTTACTATCATAAATTAAGTTTTGACGGCCTCGGTGATCTAGCGGTTTAGCATACCGCCTTACGCAATTGTCGCGGGTTTGATTCCTCGCATGACACAAACATTTGTATTCATAAGTATCATTGTTTATGTCGATCGGGGTATTTTCTATGTATAATATTTATGTATTTACGAAAAACAAAATATCTATGTATTTATATCAGTTAAATAGTACCCATAACACAAGCTTTAGCTAGCTTAACTGCGGTCTAAATGGCGATGTGTTAATTGCTCTGAGCCCTATAATTATTATTATTAAGTACATATACTATTATCACTTATAACATGAATTTCTGTACAAATACGTACGTACTTACCAGCTAATAATAACTACAATCTCTAGATCTCAAAATATAGTACAATTAAATATTTCATATATCTTCTGTTATAAACTTTTTTCTCAAGGTTAGAAATAAAAGGTGTCAAATAGTCAAACAAATAAAATTAAAAACTATGAGAGCATTTACTCGGCTAATTAATAGATAAAATTAATTAGCCAAGAAAATTGACTTTGGTGAATATTCTGTAAATTTTTGCAAAATTGTACATTTCAAAACTATATATTATTCTATATATATAGAAAGGTAACAATATTGTGTTTACCGCACCATAGAAACTAAATAATCCTCCGTAACTATCTATCCTATCTGGGATTATAAACATGAAAATTTGTATTCTGTTTTATAGATATGTATAATAAATATTCACACTATATAAATTTATTTTATGGCAAGAAATTATGGTGCATATAACATTAATTTCTTCTAGCAATAGCAATTACTACAATACAAAACATTTTCTATCTCACGCCCACGTAACATTCAAATAAATAAATACCGTCACGTGCCATTATTACTAACGATACTTTATTCCGATATATAATGTATTGATAGACTCAACCCACGCGTAGCTGGTCACTCTAAACAATCGCCATAGATCCCTGCGCAACCAAGCCTGAAGGTCTGTTTTCACTCCTATGGGCGCCATAATAATGGTGATTGTTTCGCCCAGGAAGCGTTTCTCTACGCTCCATGAGGGTACGACCTTTATACTACCTGATTGTAACCCATTGTGAAGCTCGGTTAAGAAAATCTATTGTAGTAGTTCCAAAAGTGGCACCTAATAGTTTCGCCAATGGTTCACAAACGTTCTGTTCTGTAGTACAATAACAGATATACAATACAAAAATGGAAGGATATAGTTACCGGAGGAGGTGATTATCGTGATTAGATAGAAAATATGCTAAGGGAGGACTCAAGAGAGTTCAGTCTAATATGTGTACCGAACCAAATTTCGATAGCGTCTGAATTAAGCAAGATTTGTGTGTATAGACCTTTAGATCCATTTTCTCTTATGCATGCATCGTAAAAGACGGGAAGATATAACTGATCGCATGAATATCAGAAGTATAGACGCCAGAAGCAGGTTTGAACTGTCAAATATAACAGAAATTTATTTATATTTCTTTTTAAATAATTGGAATGGCAAATAAGCTGGCCTGATAATAACCATCGCCTATATTAATATACTTGAACAGCTCCATGGATATCAGTTCGCCATGTGGGTCCCGTGGTAGTATACATTGGCATTCGTTGTCAACATTCTTAGATTCTTACCGTCTAAGATGTCATGATTTCCATGCCATTTCTCACCCTACCACCAAAACAAAGTAAATTAGTAATATTTTAACAGAATAATTAACAAAATATTTATTTAACAGAATTACATAGGATAAAGAATCCCGAAAACATCGCTGTTGTTTCTTCAGATGTCTGCAGATTTCACTATGGGAATGACCTATCCATATTAATACGCATTACCGGATACGGAGCGATGAACTTAAAAAAGTATTATATTTACATACGCTAAATAAACAGGCAAAAATGTATCTAATATCTGCAATATATCCAAGAATGCTCAGGGCGAAGCAAAATGTAGATTAAAATATTTTTTTTTCTCAACTTACACTTAGGTATACAAAAATTCATTACATTATTAAAACCGTTTTTCTTGTACCTAATATTCAGAAAATATATACAGTAGTAAAATCTACATATAGACTAAAGTAATATAACTTGAAGTTTCACTGAACTATTTCTTTTATCGATAAATAATAACGAACAGAATCTTCAATTATAAAACAATTCGCTATCTCGTCCTCCTCAGAAATTCCACCCTTGTATAAAATGACATGCATCTACGAAGATTTCAATGTAAATAGATGAGAATATGACCGCTATAATACACAGCCTTTGAATATTCTAGTCTCGCTGATCCTGTTTCAAGAGGAATACCTATTTAGAATACTAATGAGCAAAAATAAGGACGTAGACATTCTTGACGTTGTAACAACTTTATTAAAATAGTAAAATTTAATCATTTTCACATATTAAAAGCTTTGTAACTAACCAGTACCTATTCTTGACAATGTTATATACCTAATTTCATCTTAATGGGTCGCATAATTATTGAATTGTGACCATTTCTGTTGCAAATCAAGTATTGAACCAGGGTACTGTAGTGTTCTGGCGATATAAAGGAAGCATTAACTACTACAACTATTTAGCTACTCATTTTTAATCAATAGAATTGGTAAATAATGACTAGTGTCACACAATAACTGAAGTGAACGTCGCCTAATATTCCCTATTATAAAATGTTTAGCACTAATACAGGGTATACCATTGCACTATTCTGACATGCATTTCTTTTAAGAAGCTGGCATACTGAATTTCTCGAGAAGAATTCTTCAATCATTAAATTTATCAGTGTTGCATACCATCCTCGCCCTTGCGTAGTATATTTTACATGAAAGGTTTTCCCCGACGGGTTAACCTTATAGATTTAATGATATTATCCTCAAATATAAAACTTATTGCTTTTGTAACTTGACCTTATCCTGAGAATTTTTGGTCGTTTTTATACTCCAATTACGTCGTCTCTGGAGGATGTGGTCTAGAATATTTTTCGATATTTCCAGCATATTACGATGGAAATTTAAAAATAACATTTATGTAATTCAAAACATATACATATATTAGCGTTTGAAACCTTCCATATTTATTTATTTATACTCCTATTTTCGGTAATGGAGTAAAAATAATACTAATCAAAGTAAATACTTTTTATATTATACCTACTAAAAAAAATATGATGACCTTAAAATTAAGGAAGATGTAGAAGATAAGGCATTATCTTCTACATCTAAGGGATATTATCCAAGGGAAAATGCATATTTTACTGTCAAACACTTACTTGTAGTGCAGTTATTAATGTTACTGCTGTCATGCTCAAATTTTGAGTTTAGTTATTATATTTAAAATGATTTTTATAAAATAAATTAAAAATGGAATTTTTCAATAATCTCTGTTAATTTTAATTTATTCTTTTTCCAACTTTCTTTTTTATTATGTTTTACGGGAATGGCAACGCACTATTTATAAGCTACCAAATACAATTTAGTTTTTATATAGAATTGTATAATATATATATTTTCTATTAAAATCAAAATTACATATTATGTATATAATTAAAATTAAACCTTAACAGAGTATACTTAAGATGAGTACGAACTTCTTAGCACTCCATGTATTCACCGTGCGGGTGTTGGGTTTATCGTGTGGCAGAGAGGAAAGCTTCGAGTAGTTCCCGATACTTCACCTACACCCGGGTAGGGTAAATAAAAAATATAATAATAAATCCTATCCGAAAACCCGTCATATATTGCATTGAATTTTAAATATGAAATATTAATTACAAATCCTTTCGTCTAGGAGACTGGATCAATAAGACCAGGAGTGATTGGTGGTTCAAAACCAAGAGTAGCAACCCCGGAGGTGGAGGCAAGAATTGAGGAGCTCAAACGACAAAACCCCGGGATATTTTCGTGGGAAATACGAGAAAAGCTACTTAAGGTAATATGTGTTTTATTCATCCATATTTTTATGACATGATGTAAAAGTTTTTTAAAACTGCACATAATGTGCTTGATTAATTAAAATTCCAACCGCATATGGCAAAATAGGTAAGGTTAAGAGATATACAGTGTCCTGATACCGCAAGAGCGGATAGTTATAAACAGTAAAGTTTCCCAAAAACCGGCGTCGTAGTAGAATTCTAATGCGACCCTGTGACTTAGGCGATGGCTGTTTGAAACATTGTTGTTTGTAGTAGATAAAAACCCTACACATCCCACCTGCTGTTTTTCGCCGGGACTTTGGTAGATCTTCCACAAGTTAAAAAACCGTCTATACGTAATACAAGTATTCTATACATCATCTAGTTACTATATACAATGCTACACTTTACCAGTAACACATTCATAGAAACAAGATAAAGATAAGGGTTTGAGCAGACGTAGAAGTTTTGTTTGACGACGGCAAAATTTTCTATTGTGGCCTCTCGGGACTTGTTAACTTCGTGGATATGAGGATATGTTGTATATTACAGTTCGTTTATATAAAACTATACACCAAGGATTGGTCTTCGTTTTCTCAGATTTTTAGTAGAAGGCTTTTATTATACTCTGAATGAGTATAATAAATATGGCGATGAAAGGTGTTTAATATAAGAAAGTTTTACACTAGATAACATCGTCGTTTACATGGGTTAAACAGAGAGAGTCAATAATTTTTATTGAATTATTAACCCAAATATCTAAGTTACAATTTCATCAACTGAATTGTCACTGCTTGGATTTTGCGAAATTTATTTTTATAAGATAAATCATGGGTTAAATTCTCAGTTATATGTATCTGGTACAGTGGTGTGTACATGTATATGGTAGAGCTTTTATTATATTATAAACAAGCTGTACCCGCGACTTCGTCTGCTTGGAATTTACCAAAAAAGTTAATCAGTTTTACTTTTTTGGTAAATACCAATTAATTAATTTAAAAAAAAAATCCAAAATAAAAGTAGCTTAAGTTACTCCTTATTAAATCAGCCGTACCATCAAAATCGGTCCAGCCATTTCAGAGATTAGTCGGAATAAACAGACAGACAGACAAAAATTGTAAAAAAATAAAATTTCGTATATGTACCGTATTTATATTCATATCCATGTAGTAAAAAACGGTTATTTACAAACAGACACAACAATATTATTTATATGTATAGATGAATTGAAAATCTCCAAAACGCTATCAAGTTTGCGAAACAATGCTGGTAAGTATTAGAACGGAAGTTTTTACCTAAACTATCTAAAAACGACACAGTGGGCGGTCTTTGTCTTAGTTGAGAAACAATCGATGGCGCGACAAAAAGTCTAGCGACTTTTTTTACTTTTTTGTTAACTTACACAATCACGTGTTACAGGAGGGCGTGACAGATCCACCCAGCATTTCGTCCATTTCTCGGTTGCTGCGCGGAGGCGCGAGAGACCCAGACGGAAAGAAAGATTATAGCATTGATGGCATTCTTGGTGGTAAGTATTTATTGTTATTTTTTTAATATTATCAAAGGTCTAATTAACTTGCACTGGAGAAACTATTGTTAAAAATTGAATTGGTGATGTTACTGCTCTAGTAGTAACCTTGAAATGCATCTGAATAAAAGAAAAAACATATCTGAGGAATACTACTGAATTCAAGTTTGCAAACCATAAAGCCTACACCAGAGAAATCGATTTAAAAAGTAACGTGTATCTGAAGTGTCTCTCTTTCTTTCTCTCTCTTCCTAGCTGGACATATAGCTAGGAAGAGAGAGAAAGAAAGAGAGACACTTCAGATACACACATGGTGGTGAGATTACTTATTTATCCTTTACTTAGTCATTGTTTAAATTTAACCTGGCCTAAATAAATAAGCTAAAAAATACATATATTAATTCAGCATATTACGTTGTAACAACTTAAAGTTACAATACATATAAAAACAGCAAATTTTGAGTTTGAAATGTACATTTAACTGAATAAATACAAATTGCTCCATAAAAACTGATTACTAATCCAGACAAAATTTATACGATACTAAAATGAACAAAATAGACTCTGAAAATTAAAAATAAATAAACGAAACGATGTCAGTTTTATGGTATGTTCACCAAAATATTTCGTAACTCAAAAGGCATTATATGCTTTCTCCTAATAATTTATTACAAAGAAGAAATTTCTTTATATTTCAGTTGATAATGAAATTCTATAAAATAAACCATTTCTTTTTTACAGTCATCCTATAAAATATGGATACTAAGTATATTATATATACATTTTTGATCTAATGGTCGTTACGATTTTAGTGGTTACCACTTACAGTAAGGTGAGCTGTCAGCTACTTTGCTATTACACTCACATAAAAAATAGCTATATTATCGTTCATGGCAATTTAAATAGAGCACTAAATTAGAGTTATCAAAAGATAACCTTTTTTTCTTGAGAAAAACTTTCATTCTTAGTCTATATACCCTTAAGTAGGCCCTCAACTTGTTTGCCTTCTAGGTATAAAAAAGTTACCAACCAATATTAACATAGATCAAAGCATAGACTTTTGTGTAGTTTGTAGTATTGGTTAATACTTCCCCTCCGTTACCTCCAAACTGTTTTAGCAGTTTACATTCGTTAGATACTATAATATACTGATACAAATACACCTTAACTCCATATTATTTCTTATAGAGTTGCCATATTTCACTGGCTTCTGGTGTAGGCTTTACGGTTTGCGCTAACTTAAATTCAACAGTATTCCCCAGATATGTTATTCTATTATCTAGATTCATTTCAAGATTATTACTAGAACGGTAACATCACAAATTCAATTTTTATTAATAGATTCTCCAATGTACGGATTCTCAGTTTTAGATATTTTTTGTGTATTTCGTATTAGTCTTTATAGTCGTATTAGGCGGGATTTACGTAATCCTGTATTAGTTAATTTTAATTTTGTTGTGATTGATATATGATATGATAAATTAAAGAGAATTGTCTAAGTTTTGTACACACAATTCATCTTTTCGACCATAATCACATGTTGGGGTATTCGAAGTATTTGTGGACTGTCGATATTAGATACTTGAATACACCACAGCAGAACGAGCCTCGAAGAATGGGTATGTGAATTGTGCATAAACGTTGCAACCGAAATGATTTCTTAAAGATATATTATGATAGTACAATTTATCTAGGTATATAATATGTAAAAGAGTAATAAAAGTAGTAAGTAATAAAATATTTATCTCATGTCTGTTCGTGTAAAACTAATATTATTTTAATTAAAATAAACCAATGATAAAATATTAAAAAAAAACTGTACATTCGATGCTCTCAAAAAGGATGTTGCACGGTATTCACAAAGTGCTACTGAATAAATTTCGAGCTATCTGTTTCCACACGTTTTAACCGACTCAGTGACCTGTAATAAACTCCGTTATGAAAAAATGTTCATGAAAATGTCACACTGAATTATTAAATCTTCGATACAAGATCATGTATAATTGATAGATTACAAACATTAAACATTAAAGACAGAAAAATATTTTTTCTACATATTAATAATATATATACATACTATATATTACTAATATATACACTACGTACTATTAATATATACTAAAGCCAACTTTATTTTTTCAAATTATATAATTATAAACAAAAATTATTGTCAATATCGCCCTAAGTCAATGCTAAAATAAAATACATCATAATAAAATCAAATTTCCCATCTATATTAATATACACTTCCGTATGTATGAATTAGTATCAGGTGTTATCGTAGCCTCAAACACCCAAACATTGTCCAATAACTTCCCGTCCGTTTGAATAGTTTATTTGCAAGTTAATAGCCACAACCTGTCAAAGCTTACTCACGAGGTGTGTTAAAAAAATCAATTTCCGCACACAAAATATCACTTGGTCATTGTTGCTGTTTGAAATATTGGAGTTCGTTCTCTCAAACGTCAAAGGGCGGCTACGTTTGGCGGGCGTCGATACAAGGGGCCGACAAAGCGGGACATAGCTAGCCGCCCGTTGCGCTTTCGATAGTGCTGAAACACGAACAATGCACATAGGTAACATATTTTCCAGTACATCATTGTTGCATTATTGTGTTTGTACGTTTTGTCGCAAATTAATTGTATTTTAAATTTATGCTGTACCTGTTGAGCGGGGTTTTCGTTGAGAGCAAAGCGGCCGCCGTATCGTTTCCACTTTTTTTATGCATTATATAATGTATTAAGTACAGAATTGTTGAAGAGGAATATGTAAAATAATGCTTATTTCAATGCTCCGGATTATTTTTAGTTCTGTCTAAACAACCAAGCAATATAGTTATTCCAAGAAAATGGTTATTTCATATTCTCCAGTATTATGTAGTAAATCTACTCCTACCCAAGAGTTATAATATATTTATTATTTTTAGATATAATAGGTATGAATGGATAAAATCCGTTAAACATATTTTCGTACAGACTATTAACTATAGTGTAAAAATAACAAATTGGATGCTACTTTCTCATTTTAGGGAGAGCATTAAGAAACATTCACGTCTTGTTCTTTTATATTATTACATTTGTAGTTAATAAAGCATCTTGCACTCAACGTAATATTTCAAACTGTCACTGAAAGTCTCGCAATAAAGCATTACTTTCACAGGAGCACAATGAAACAAAGGTGCGCGATAAAATCTCGCATTTGTTTAATAACTGTCGTTAGAATAAAGTGATGTAGTGATGGTCGACACTGATGATTACTATTATAGAAACCTTCTCGAAGATACGCTGCGGCGCACACGCATTCGATTTGCATTCGAGACTGTTGTATGGATATAAAAGTTCCAGGATATGAATGAGGAGCTAACCCACACTTATTACGAGCTATACCACGAGAATTGTAAATGTAAAAAGTATCTGTAATCTAGACTGTGTATGTATGTGTACCTCATACCAAATAAATTCCTTTCAATAATATTAGCTCGATCGTGTAACATCGTCTTCATATTTTTCATTAGATTAGTCGAATGACATACGACATGACGGCCTTTCCTTCGCCTATTGAACTATAAACATCCAGTCTTTTTAGTTTTTTTTTAATATACAAGCAACACACGATGTATAGATTCATACTTGCCTTACCCTGTAATTTCACAATCATAATGTAATGCCTAATGTCATCCTACAACCGAATACAGTTTCACAGAGTGCAAATCCTTTTAATTCAGCTAATATAGGTAAGACTGACATAGGTACCCGGATAGCCGACGTACTACAAATTCTACCTGAGGAATTAAATAAAAATATATAATATATATAATATAATATAATAATCTCAGGACAATTCACACAGCGCCATCTAGACCCAAGTTAAGCTAACTAGAGCTTGTGTTATGGGTACTAGATAACTGATACATATACATAGATATTTTTTTTTGTAAATACATACATATTATACATAGAAAACACCCAGACCGATACAAACAATCATACTCATGGATACAAATGTTTGTGCCGTGCGAGGAATCGAACCCGCGACCATCGGTCGTAAAGCAGTGTGCTTGACCGCTAGACCACCGAGGTCGTCGGTAAATAATTAAATAAAACACACATGCACTATGCCCTTAATCCAAATGTAACCGGTATTGGACTTGAAACATGTCAACTATTTATTACGCGTTCATTTGTTAACTCGCATTGTATTCAAGACAATTTTGTCTCATCACATTATTCAACTGAAGGCCTCCCATAACTTCCCGACCTCCATGCAAGCAGAAGTGCACGACTTACCGACAAAGACATAGCTACAGAAGAATAAAGGATATTCTGTACCCCTATGACCAATCCAATACCTATAACTTCGTAGTAAAAATATAAATCTATTTGTAAATTAAATGCTTTATAAGTATTATTACATATTACATATCATTAGTATTATATTATCATTTTATCATTATTACATATCATTAGTATTATTACATAGTCATAGAAACTAAAACCTTTTACAGACACATTTTGACTATAATAATGTTTTGTCACTTACTTTCTTCAGAAAGTAGCCTATTAAAAAAAGACAACACAGGTCAGTAGTTAAATTTTATTAAATTACTAGCTGAAGCCTGCGTCTTTGGCCGTATGGTATTTGTTATTACTTTGATAGGCGCAATAGCCAATTCATCCATTTTCTCCAAATTGAAAAAAGAAAGACTTAGCCCATAATAATTTAGTGCGATTAGTAGACTCACCTCCACTGACGAAAGCGAAGGAATACTTGCTAGAAATGTATCATATTAAATTGGTTTCCATGCGATTCCCCCCTGCAACACATTGCGATTAAATTCTCCTCGGCTGAACTGGCAACTTGACCTCCTCCTCATCTCAGCAACTTCCACTGGTGCACTTTGGTATCTACCTAGAAGGATGAATAGGCCACCTAGCTGATACTACTTATGGCTGTTAACATGAGTCTCGTGTTATGGTAGAATTTCTACCTTATTGAATCAA